TCATAGCTATGTCACATCCTGGTAAATATGTATTGCACCGGAAGTGATCGTCTACCAGATATAAACCCAACGCGGTGCCTTTCATCTTATGGCTCCCCATGATACAAGTATAGATAAATCTAGAAACACTGTGCATGTATAAACAATAATTTAAACAATGTGGTTACATGTACAATTAATTAAATACATAGTACAAGTTTTTTCAGTGATTATTTTAATATACTTCAACACATTGCCACCCTGGTCTGTCGTCTCACAAACAACGTTGTTCCTTGGGATGATATTTATGCACTTATGTCATGTCAGCTGGTAGCTCTAGGTAAATGTCCTGGTGTTTGTCCCATAGCAATTGGTAAGACTCTAAGAATAATTGGTAAGACTGTTCGTTTTCTAACAAGGTATGATCTCAATGATACAAGTAATAATACCCAACTCTGTGGAAGAGTTAAGTGTGGGATTGAGGCTGCAATACATACTGAGTCTGATTTGTTTAAGGAAAATGAGAATCATGGATAAGGAGTTTTGATGATTGATGCATCGAACACTTTTAATAGTATTAACTGTCAGGCAGCTCTGTGGAATACCCACATAGTCTTTGGCCTAATTGTTCATGTTTGTATTTAATACATACAGAGTTAGGGTACCTCTGGTGGTCAAAGATTCAAATGAGTTTTTATACAGTAACAAAGGGGTAACTCAAGGGGACCCACTCTCAATGTTTATATATGCCATGGCTACAGTCTCACTGATTCATCACATTGGCCATCCTAACACAGGTAGAGACATATGGTATGCAGACAATGCCTCAGCTTGTGCTTCATTGCATGATTTATTGTCATGGTTCTCCAGGTTACCATTTTGAACCTTGAAATGAGTTCTTGTTGTTAATTCTGATTATGTTTCAAGTGCTTGTGATCTATTTCAGAGTTATGGTGTGAATGTGACAACCAGCCATAGGCTGCTTGGTGGTGTTATTGGTAATAAGATCGGATCAGTGAATAATGTTAAGGACTGTGTTAGTCAATGGGTTAAGATACTTAAAAGGCTAATAGTTATTGCTGAGACACAGCCACAATACTCTGCCTACACAAGATCAACACAATCTCAATGGACATATCTGCAGAGGGAATTGTTTGGTCCAGTGAAACTGTTATCAAGAAGTTGTTATCAACTCTTCTTGGTTGTGAGATCTCCGATAGTGAGCGTACTCTCTTTCTCTTCCAACAAGGATCAGTGGCCTCAATATACTTTAGCCACCACTGCTGATAAAAACTAATCGAACTCAACGAAGCATACCACCCCTTATACTAATGCTCTAAAAGAAAATGGTCAATTTGATATCGATGAGTTTACAGAATACTATGAGTCAGATATTAAGAACATCTATAAGAACAAGGACGCAGATATGCTAGAGGTGTTTTATTATTCTACTAGGATTGATCAGGAATAATATGGTGCCATGTGTAGAGCTAAGGATGACAAGATGTCTTTGTGGCTCACAGTAAACCCTGTAGCTAAACATCGTATTGACCTATCTGCACAGGAGTTTAGAGACGCCCTTGCCATCAGGTATAGGAAACCTTTACTAGAAATACCACCACATTGTGATGGGTGTAACGCACCATTTGATCTCTTTCATGCTCTGTCATGT